TACGCTTATCTCCCTGAGCCTGGCCTTCATAAGTCCATTCCATCACAGGAATAGCTCTAAATCTCAATCAGAATTCTTTCTCTTTTAATTCCAATAGAGTTAAATTTTCTAATTCTCTTTCCAACTGTCTGTCCATAACTTCTGTCTTATTCTCCAAAATTTCCACTTTATCATTAATTTGTTTTATATCTCCAGACATTTGTTTTACAGAGCTTTCCATCTTCCTTCTTCTTTCACCTCCTCCTTCATCTTTACAAATTGTTCATCCATTCTTTTTTCAAAGGATGTCAGCTTAGTATCAAGTGATTCTAACTTAGTACTCAATTGCTCAATTTTTTTCTGAAGCAAATCTGGTGTCATGCACCAGATTCACTCTGCAGATGAATCCAAGTGGATTAGCATTCTGGACCAGGCCTGAATTTGGCAGGCCTACTTCCAGGCTCAGGATTACATTAGACATATATCTGTCTAATATGAACACTTATTATGGCCCTAAGGAAAGCTGATTGAATCCATTCATAGGTTGTGAAATGTGAAAGTAGACCCAGCTGTATTCCATACATCATTTGTGGTATTGATTTGGCCTGAAATAGTTTAATCACTACCGGAGCAAATTTCCCTCCTTGTATTCTATAAAGTCTTAGAATGGTTATGGCATTCTGTGTCTTTGAAGCAGCACAGACAATTTGAGCCTTAAATTTCCTATTGGTTTGGAAAACAATTCTACATTAACCTATTAAATTGCATTGTTGTTGTGTCCATTTGTGTCTGTGTGCTGTTGGAAAACACTAACATTTTTGTTTTTCTTAATTTATGATCAAATGTTCACTTTTATAAAAGGCTGCTAAAGTTTTCAGTGCTCATCTCATGCCAACTTGTACTTGTGAAAATAATACCACGTTATCTGCATATAAAAGTATTGGATTTTTTTCTGGTAATTTTGGGGCATGAATGTCCATGGTGTGGAGAGTAAAGTGAGTTTATATAAATATTAAAAAGCAGTTGAGCTAATATATAACCTTGTTCCACCTCCCTGGAAATCTTAATATAGTAAGAAAGATCTTTTTTTTTAGGTTTTTTTATCCCCCCCTTTATTATTTTTATAAATAACTCAAGGCAGTGAACATACCTAATATTCCTTCCTTCCTTCTATTTCCCCCACAACAGCAACAACCCTGTGAGGTGAGTTGGGCTGAGAAGAGAGTGACTGGCCCGAAGTCACCCAGCCGGCTTTTGTGCCTAAGGCAGGGCTAGAACTCACAGTCTCCTGCTTTCTAGCTTAGTGCCTTAACCACTAGACCAAACTGGCTCTTCCTGGTGACTGCACCTTACTCTTAAACTAGTCTTCTCATATAGCTTGTATATAGCTTGTATATGAGAAGCAGGAAGCATCTATCTGTTGAGGAGTTACTCAGAATCACTAAATCTACATGCTCCTCCATTGTTTCAGAATAAATCAGGATATAATCCAAATATACCAAAACTCCCTGATACAAAGATTCATGTAACACCTCATTTATCAATTGCATAAACACCCCAGAGGTGCCCTACAAACTGAAGGGCATAACCCGGTATTGAAAACACCCCAGGGGCAGCTGAACGCCGTCTTCCATTTATCCCCCTCCCTGATCCGCACTCGGAAATAAGCGTCTCTCAGATCCAGTTTTGTAAAATTTTTGCCCTTCGACAATTGAGCCAACAGATTCTTCATTAGAGGGAGGGGGTACTTATTCTCTTTGCAGGTGGCATCCAGACATCTATAATCAGTGCATAGTCTTAACGAGCCGTCTTTTTTCTCCCTAAACAAAACGAGAGCTGCCATCATGGATTTCGCCAGCTGTGTAAAACCCCTCGCCAGGTTTTTATCTAGGAACTGTCTCAGCGCCTCTAGTTCCTTTGGAGTCATTGAATAGGTCTTTCATCTAGGGAATTTCGCCCCAGGTTCAATTTTAATGGCACAGTCCATTGGCCGGTGGGGGAGTAGCTGGTCTGACTTCGTTTCACTCAGTACTGCCTCCAAGTCTCTGTACTACTCTGGGATCGATTCCCTAGACTTTGCGGGCTGGGCTGGGGCACCTTTGGACTCGCAACTCCTACTGCCGCCAATTGAGCGTTCTCCCCACTCTCTCATGGAGCCATATAAACCCCATCTTTAAACACTAGGCTCCCCGTTTCCCAGTCCACTTTGGGGTTCCACCACTTAAGCCAAGACAGTCCCAGGATCAAAGGATAAGCCGCAAGCAGAGCCACCAGGCATTTCAAAGTCTCTCGGTGAGTCCCCATTCTCAGTTCAAATTCTTCAGTGCAGTATTGCACTGCATCCCTGCCTGCAGGTGACCCGTCCAGTTGATTAAATATAATAGGGGTTTTCAGTTTCCGTACCCTCAGTCTGAGCCCATTTACAAGAACCGGATTAATTAGGCATGGGTGCACTCTGAGTCTATTAATGCCATTAAATGTACCTTGCAGGTGGTTCCAAGAGCCCTTAATTTCACCCCAACCATCATGACACCCCATCCTCATCCTCCTCCAACTCGGGTTCCAGCTCGTCACGCCGCTTTTCACCCACCTGCCCCTGGATGTGCTTTAGGACAGGTGGCTGGCATTTCCTGCTGACTGGAATTCCTCCTCTGAAGGACCTTCTTCGAACACTGGGTGTTGGAATTCATTGTCTGCTCCCAAAGCTGTGGTTCCCTTCTTCTCGGTTTTGGGATCCTTCAGGGGTTTTCCTGGTGGTTTACTTTTAACGGTCGCTCAGGGCACGCTGGTTTTCAGACAACCCGTGGCGAAATGCCCCGGTTCCCCACACTTGAAACAAGTGCGCTCCCCAGTTCGCTGCTCGGGACCACTCTCCTTCCATTTGCCACTTGGTCTACGAGGCAATGTGGCCACTGTGCTGGCGACCTTCTGGGGACGAGGGTTCACTGCCATCCAGTTGGCTTCCACCACCGCTGCATGGGTGATCCACTCCTCTACCGTTCTTGGGTTTGCCCTGGAATACGCCAGCTGCCACAGCTCAGGTCTCAACACCTTCTGGAAACAGCGCACCTTGAATTGCTTGGGCCAATCTCGGAGCTTCCCCGCAAGGCTTTGGAACTCCAGCACATAGTCTGACACCGAGTGGTTGCCCTATTTTAGGGTTTCCAGGGTTGATCTTGCTTTTAACCTGGCGCCCGAATCCTCAAACCGTTTCTGCAAAGCCCGCATGAATCTGTTAAGGTTAACGAGCTGCGGCGCTCTGACTTCGTGCATCTCAATCAGCTACTCTGCTGCCTGTCCCACCAGGGCACGAGACATGTATGCCACCCTCTGCACATCGTTCAGGAGCAGCTGACTGCAATTCTCCATGCAGATTTTCACGTGTGCCAGGAAACTTACCAGTTCCTTCAGGTCACTGCTGTAGTTCATCATGAGACCCCAACATTTAAGCGGATCCCCCTGGGGTTGAAATGGGTGGACTGGAGTCCCTTTGTCCTCATTGCCTGACCCCGCCTCTCTGCCTTCTTGCTCTCTACACCCGTCATCAGAGGGAGCGCTCTCTGTAGTCAGTCTCCAATCTCGAGTGCTCAGCGATCTCATTAGCCCTCCCAGCGACCTCAGCTCTCCCTTAATGGTTATGACATCAGCCTGAAAATGGCTCATAGACCCCTCCAGGGTGGCAACTCACATTGACTCCGCTTCGCTCGCACCCAGGGACCATTGATTGTCAGTCTCTCTCTCTCCAAGAACGACACCTCCTGGTACCTCCCCAACTCTTGGGTTGGCTTCCACGCTTGTCCATGTTGCTGTTCTTTATCGGACACCAGGGGCAGCTGGGCCACGGGTCTTGATAACCTCTCCATCTCTTCTTCCATTCCACCACTAGCTCCATATTCTATTATCTCTTCCTCCATCACGATTGACTAGTCGATGCCTCAAGTCTGCTGCTATAGATCCTCCTCGTTAGGCTTCCGCCTCGGGTAGAAATACAAAGAGGAGTTTCAGCAAAATGTGAGAACCCACGATACTCAATTCCTAATAAAGATGATTCCCTAGAGACTCAGATAAGTCCAAAGAAAAGTTCATTTATTGAGAAGAAGTATACAGTCTCAAAAGCATTGCTGAAACTAAAAAGCCCGCGTGCAGCAACGTTTTCTTAACCCTTTTTCCCTTACTCCCCCCTTTCCATACCATAGTTCTTTTGTCTGGATTTCTCCTGGTCTCATGCTGGTACGACCATGGCATTCCTGGGAAAAGATAACTTAGCATCTGCCTTTAACGGTGCTTTCTCTGTCTCCTTCTCCACCCCCAGCAGAACCGAAGCAAGCCAACTAGCAGCCATGATTAAGTAATTGCGAGGCTTCTGACAGCTTTCTGGACACTTGCAGTATATCATGTAGCTGAATAAGTACATTTAAAAATATTTTCTTAGTAAAATTTCCTGTTATGGTCTGTTTTAAGCTATCGTAGTAATATATTGTCAACATATTTTGCAGAGATTTCCTGCCCCGTGGTTCTGGAATTGTTACCCGACGGCCTCTTATCCTTCAGCTCATCTTTTCTAAAACAGGTATGTGGTCCATTCATTTATGCTTACAAAATAATCCAAATTCTTCTGTAGACAATGTTATGCTCACAAAATAATCCAAATTCTTCTGTGGATGATGTTATATTCATATACAGTTTCTTCTTGAATTTAGAGTGCTTTAAATATTCAGTCATGCCTTAAAAATTAGTAAGAATGATGAAGTATTTAGTATGATTAAATTGTGATAATAAATTATAATTCTTGAGTGAGCTCTCAAAAATTTACCATAGGTTTGTATTTGAGCTTCATAAGAGGTATCTTCTCTCTTTCAGAATATGCAGAATTTTTGCACTGCAAGTCTAAGAAGTTTACAGACTTTGATGAAGTCCGGCAGGAGATTGAAGCAGAGACTGATAGGGTGACAGGAACGAACAAAGGCATTTCTCCTATTCCTATTAACCTGAGGGTATATTCACCACATGGTAAGTGGTATGCTTTTTGCCTCTGAGTAAATTTTGTAGAAGTTGATGTTAATAGTCTTCTCAGTGCCTAGGAAAGAAGGAGGAGATTTGGAAAATATTATTCCAAATAATATTTTGGAACTATACTGGAAAACAGATAACTAACTCTCCTATTCATTGAAGGGTGGTTACTGAGAGAATGAAGAAAGCTCCACCATAACAAAGTCAGAGATAAATTAGATCCCAAATGTTGAAAGTATTCCATTGTTAAGATTTCTGTAACCTAATCTCTTTATCCTTTTAATGAAAGAGGATTTTGTGAGAATCTTGTTTTTGGATGTAATTGGCTGTCCAGCAGTGATTATTGCTGACATACATCCACATATATGTCTATACATGCGCTTGAGGGTAGGGATGTACAAAATACTTCATTATAAAATGTTTTGAGCATGGAATTTCACAAGATGCTGCATTTTTAAGTGTGCAGTTAGCCATTTCAGGCACTTTGAAAGTGCTTTGAATGGTGATTTATGGATTTGCTGATTAAAAAGGGTTAAATATGGGAAGAAGGGAATTATGATGTAATTTTAATGAGGGAGGAGAAAGAATAAGTTTGTAACTGCTGTAAAGAAGATTGAAAGTTGCTACTTTATACATCTTTTCTTCTTTCCTATTTGTATTTCTTTTCACATTTTTGCATCTTTTTTCTTTTTCTTTTCTTTAATCTTACTCTATATTATTTCATGTTTTCTTTTACTTTTGTGAAAATCTTTAATAAAAATTATTAAAAAAAGAAAACCAAGAAAGGGCTTTGAGCAAAAAACAGATGCCCTGAGCTCAAGGCACTGTTTCATGCTTGAAATGCTTCCACAATGCTCAGAGAAGCTCACTTTGGACTTGAAACATCAGGTTTGTATTCAAAGATGGGATGCTTTGGGAAATTTTGCACTTGAAATATTTAGAAGTGAAATGGTTGCTTAATACTGCCTAAAAGCTTCAGACTCCTGAAAGTGCATTTCAATAGAAATATCCAATTAAAATGCTTTTTTTTTTTTTTTTTTTTGGTAATGTTGATTCGTAGCAAAAATCTGTATAGTTACCTCTGGGAAAATACTGAAGGGAATAATATGTACATGTTATCTCAAGATGGAATACTTTTATAAGTCTTTGGAAATAATTGTCATGACCTATGAGTACATAATTAAAAGTTGAGAGTATTTTGGTAATTATAAAACTGACTTCAACTGATTTTTTTATTTTTCATTTCCCTCTCTCTTTCATTTAAATGAGCTGTCTCTTGGCTTTAATCGTTTTTTCCCCCCTCTTTGGAAAAATCTCTGAAGTCCAGAGTTGATCTTAAGGTAAAACAGCTTTTCTCAAGCGAACTTCTTATTCTTTGCTGACTTTCCTTTTCAGTGCTGAATCTGACTCTGATTGATCTTCCGGGTATCACTAAAGTGCCAGTGGGTGACCAACCCCAGGATATAGAGTACCAGATCAAAGATATGATTTTACAGTTCATTAGCAGAGAGAGCAGCTTGATTCTTGCTGTGACTCCAGCCAATATGGATTTGGCCAACTCTGACGCACTCAAACTGGCTAAAGAAGTTGACCCACAGGGTAAATTATGTTTTTCTGTTCACCTGCTAATGTAGTGGATGTATACATTCTTCATCATGGACTAGTGTGAGATTCCAAAATAGCACTTTATGACGATTTTTCCAGGTAGAATGCACCAAAATGCAGTTGCTGTTCTGTAGTAGCAATAGCCTAACTCTGATAAGATCCCAGTCTTTAAAAGAAATCTTCTGGTATTAGTTTAGTTTAGTTTAGTTTAGTTTAGTTTAGTTTAGTTTAGTTTAGTTTATTGGCCACCCAATTCCAGGGAACTCTGGGCAGCATACAAAACTAGAGAAAACATAGAAACAGCTAAAAACATTAAATCAAACAGCCAGCCCAGACTAAAATAATCTAATAGACAACAAAATCAACAAAACAAAACAGGGGCCATTGAACAAATAATAAGCATTAACCCCAGGCCTGGGACCAAAGCCAGGTTTTCAAAGCTTTCCAGAACCCTAGGAGAGAGGGCACCATCCTTATCTCTGGGGAGAATGTTGTTTCATTGGGTTGGGGCTGCAACAGAGAATGCACACTTCCAAGGTCCCACAAGTTGGCAATGTTTAATGGAGGAGACCTGGAGCGAACCCATTCTTCTGGAATGTACTAGGTGGGAGAAACAGTTGGAGACAAGCAGTCTCTCAGATATCCAGGCCCTATGCCACACAGGGCTTTATAGGTAATAACCAGCACCTTGAATTGCACCTGGAAGCCAACTGGCAGCCAGTGCAGCTTGCATAGCAGAGGTGGCACATGGGTACACTGAAATGTGCCTGTTACTGGTAGGCAATGGGAGCAGAGAAGACGTGGAAGAAATAATAAAATTAAAGCACCTTTTAGCTCAAAGTGCAAGTAAGAACAAAATTGAATAATTTCAACCTTTTAGAGTAGTGACTTTTTAATTCTATGCTGCCTGACAAAGTAATAAAAGATTCCACAAGCTCTATAAAATTGATGGGACTTGAGGCTAACCATTCTGAAATGCAGGACCCAAGCAAACCAGCTCAGCTAAGTATGTTGTTGTAATATATTTCAGCTAGTTTTATACTACTTGTTATATATAATATCTTTGTTATTATTTCACAAGGAAAAGTGACTTTGAGAAAATTATTTTAGGACTTGTAAATTGATCACCATTTGATTATGATTCTTTTTTCTTTCTCAGGTCTAAGAACAATTGGAGTAATAACCAAGCTAGACCTGATGGATGAAGGAACTGATGCCAGAGATATCTTGGAAAATAAACTGTTGCCTCTGCGGAGAGGTAGAAAGCCATTCAGAATTACAGCTGATGGATATTCCTGTCACTGAATTCCATCTTTGGTTGCTGGTTAAATTCATAGGCAAAACAAGGAAGGCAGACTCTGGGCTAATTATGGGCAGAGGAAGATATGGTGAAAGATAGGGAGTGGGCAGTATTCTGAGAATGCAGTCTCGGTGCCTTAAACTGGTTCTGCATTCCAGCCAGTTATTCCTTCCCCAATGCCAAGGTATCAGAACCTCAGAGGCCCAGGCTTTCAACTGCTTCTACTGAATGCCAGCTTAGCTTGTAATAAAGCTCCTCTCATCCATGACTTAGTTGCAGATGAGAGGGCTGACCTTATGTGTATTACTGAGACCTAGGTGGGCACAGAGTGGGATGTTGACCTCTCAGAAATGTGCCCATCTAGATTTCAGGTGAGACCCCAGGGCAGGGGTGGTGGGGTAGCTATTATGATCCAAGATTTTGAGGCTTTCAGAGGTGCTGCTCTGCAGATTACAGGATGTAAGACCCTATTTGTACAGTTCAGCTCTAGGGTTCAATTGGGATTGTTGCTGCTGTACCAACTTCCCTGCCTAAGCTCCTTGACTCCATAGCCTGATTGGCAGTAGAGTTCCAGGCTTATGCTCCTGAGGTAGTTCAGTCTGCCTGCCTTAGACATGAATTCTGATGTGCCTTGGGAGTTCATGGCCATCCTGGCAACCACAGACCTGATCTAGGTCATTGAGGGCTGAACACACAGTGGTGGTCACACATTGGATATGGTGTTTGTGGCAATGTGATTGGGTTTTGAGGGAGTCTACTATCACTCCTTTGCCGTGGACTGCTCTGGGGCTGCTCCCTGCTGCAGGGAGGCTGGACTTATTCAACTGGTTCACTCCAGGCATCTGAAGGACCTATACGGGTTTCAGAGGGAGTTTGGGTTTGTTCCTGAATGTCTGGCACTTGCTTTGACTGAGGCCTTGCTTGCCACCTGGAATGAGAGGATAGCTGCAGTTTTGGATTGTACTGCACCTATGTGGCCTCTCCCTGTCTATGGAGCTCCGGACTCCCCGGATTTACAAAGGAGATGGAGTGATGAAATGGCAGAAGAGAAGCCTAGAGTGCTTCTGGAAGACAACAAAGAGTGAATCTGACCAGACGTGGGACAGAGCCTATATTTAGGACTACTTTATAGTGATAAGAGTGACAAAGCGTATATATTTTTCCACCCTTATCATGTCCTAGATAGCCATCCAGTGGCCTTGTTCAGGGTGGTTCAGTCCCTCCTAGGTAGAATGGAGTCTGCAGGGCCGTTGTGAGAAATATTCTAGGTATCTGTTGGATAAAATTGCTCAGATTCTAAGTTGGATACTGTCTATGCAGCAGATCCTATGAAGTTGGAATAGGCACAATCTGGCAGTGTTATCTGGAATGAATTTGATCATGTTAGTCCTGAGAAAGTGGCCACCTGTATATTAAATCCCATAGCCCTCATCCAAGCTTTCCCAGGAGATTATATGTGGCTGGGTCCAGGCAGTGGTGAATTCATCCTTGAGGGAGGGAGTGGTTCCACCAATACTTAAGGAGGCAGTGGTCTGTCCCCTACTAAAGATAATTTTTGTCCTGTCTCCAACCTTCCCTTCTTAGGGAAGGTTGTTGAGAAGATGGTTGTGCTGCAGGGAGCGGAATACCTGGACTACTTTCAGTTGGTTTTCAGGTCTGGAGGAAGCGGAATATCTGGGCTACTTTCAGTTGGTTTTCAGGCCTGGATTTGGGACTGAAACAGCATTGATTGCATTTGTGGATGAGCTCAGGTGGGAGTGGGGCAGGGATGGTGCATCCATCCATGCTCTCCTTGATCTCTTGGCATCTTTCAGTACTGTTGATCATGGTACCCTTCTGGACTGGTTCCAGGGAATAGGAGTGGGAGGCACAGTTCTGCACTGGTTCTCTTCCTCCAGGGCTCATTCCAGTCAGTGTTGATTTGGCGGGTGGGTGGAATCTAGCTCATGGTCCCTCCACTGTGGAGTTCCTCAGGATTTTCATTTCCAACCTCCCACTCCCCTTCAGAATCCAGTTTAAAGCTCTCCTAATCAAGCCCAGCATGCTTTGGCCAAATAGATTTTTACTAGTTATTGTGAGATACTTGCTATCCACCATCTAAGTAACTTAGATCATAGCTGCACATACTATATATCTCTCGTTAATATCATTTGCATAACAGCTCACTACAATAATTTGCCATATTGTTCTTTCTCTTTCTGACCCTTTTTCATGGACTGGAAGGAGAAATAAGACTTGAGCTTCCTTCTGAGATGGTTTTAAGTCTTTGGTGATACAGTTGTTCTTTGGAGCATCATTTGTCCCTAAATTGTCATCAGGAAGGTATAATTATCAATGGACTTGACAGGTCTTGAAAGTTGTTCTGTCATGTCCTTGCTCCTGACACATTTCATGCATCTAGTTAACATAACTTCAGTTCATAGTAGTAGTGAGTATCTCAATCTTTTCTCCTCTGGCAATAAGCATTAGATAGTTGGAACCAGATATACTTGTTTAGAATAGTTATTTAGAAATTAAGAAATGGTTCAGTGGAAAGCACTTTAACATAGGTCATATGAGTAGTTGACTTATGAATGTTGATAAATATAAAATGAACAAATACACAGGTCAGATTAGTCTTGCGCATTTCAGCAAAAATTGCTGAATAGGTTCTGGATGTCGGTTATGATTTCATACTATTCCTTTTGTATAGCCATTAACTTGACAAGCTTTATTTAGTAATAGATAATTAGTAGAGGACTAGATGATTACTGATTTCACAAACTAAGATCTTGATTATCTCTTTAATCTGATTCAGAATCATTTTTCTGCATCTAGAATAAAAATGCAAAATAAGCACATTCTTGTGGTATTATATTCAGGTACTACATTCTAGTTTTCTATACATTTCTGGATTCCTTTCTGTTCTTATATTAAAGATGACCATTTGAGATCAATAGTATGGCATAATTGTTAAACAGACTATTCTGGGTGAGGAAAATCCAGCCATGCCTGTGAAAAATCCCATCCTGTCTCTAGGCCAGGGTGTTTCAGATAAAGAAAAAATAATAGCATGTTCTCATTTTTAAGAGTGGATTTCTGGACTTCAGTGGTAGAAGCTATATTCCCCCTATTGCTGATATACTCTTATACCCTGACTTTATGAAGTTGTTGCACTGTCACATTCTAGCCTTCTTCTCAAAATTTGTTCTGGGCCATGTACAAACTGTGAGACAGAACCTAACATACAGATTTGTCCCCTTGTAGGCTACATTGGAGTTGTGAACCGGAGCCAGAAGGATATTGATGGTAAGAAGGACATCAGAGCAGCATTGGCAGCTGAGCGCAAGTTCTTCCTTTCCCATCCTGCTTACAGACACATGGCTGATCGCATGGGAACTCCCCATTTGCAGAAGGTCCTGAACCAGGTATGCTATTCCTACAGCAATCTGTTTTTCTTGGCTTACTCTTATAAGCTTGCTTTCAGGTGAACATCACCAAGAGTTTATCTTACACTTTCTAATGGTAGTACATCATGGAGAAGGTGTCTCTCTTATTTTAAACCCACATGTGAGTTTTTTCCTCTATGTCAGTGTCCATAAATCAATTAACTATGCTTCAGTTTAGAACTAGTTCAGATATTGCAAAGAAACAATAGTGGAAGTAAGATACCTTGGTTTCTAGTTTGTTTTGGTCTCTGCCAGGCATAAAAAAACCCTGCAGGAGTGCTAAATATTTCTCATAAACAGATTTCTCAATGGATGCATTTCTACTGAATATGAGCAAACCTTGTTGAAGCAATAGATGTAGGTGGTATTGCATAAGACAGTGCCTGCTGTGGAAGGAATTCTCTCTGCTCTGTCTTTTAATTCACAACAGTGAGAACAAAGTAAGAGTTTTGTTGGGAAGAGAAAGGAGTACAAGGATTCTTGAGTACTATAAGTACCTTCTTTTCTGAATAATATTTTTATTAGAGTTTTACATAGTTAAAAGTTAATACAGAATTAGAAAAGATATACAAACAAAAAGAAGAAAAAGAGCAAGAGAAAGAAAAAGAAAAAAGAAAAAGAAATATAAAAAGTGACTCCCCCCTCTCTCCAAACAAGTATAAGCATTTACAGTAACTTAACACCTTCTCTAATATTACAGAAAAAAACTCTCTTCTTCCCATTTCTCATCACTAAACAATAACCACATTATAGAAAGATTTATTGATCGGTCTTACTCAGCAAAAGCATTACCAGTAGTAATAACCTATATGTTTTAAGTTTAGACAAATATATTTTGCATTTTTACTTATAACTTTCTCTAATTAGTAAAACATTAAAAGATTTATCCCCATAGGTATGCATATGATTGGAAAAAATGTAAACCAACTGGTGCAAGAAGGAGTGAAGAAATTCATTTGCTCCAGGAGGCACTGCTTGGCATGTCAGGAATTAGGTAGTGAGAGGAATCTAGCCTAATAATTAAATGCCCTTACAATTGTTCTAGCTTTAATTGGGTATGTACCAGTTTCTGCATAGAGAAGGGGGATGGGAATACTATTAGGAACACCTAAAACAATTCTGAGGAGCTTGTTTTGAAAGAATTCCATATCATAAGGGGTAGAAATTCCCTATAACTCTACTGCATACAAAAAGTAAGGAACCAACTTGGTTTTTAGAAGCGTTAGGATTGGAGAAATTTGTTGACCACCACTTGTACGCTAGAACTTTATTATTCCTGCCAAAGGTTTCTTAGTTCCTAATATTTATAATATTTTACCGACTATAATAACACTCTTTTAATGTTTTTACTGATTTTTGTATATTTTAATGTATTTTATTAATGTCTGGCTACTTTTGTGCAGGTTGTATCTTATTTTTTACAACCAGTGGTCAAAACAATAAATAAATTGATTGATTATCCCCATAGGTATAACACATATCAATAATAGTGACTGACAGACAGACAGACAGACATATACATATACATATACATATACATATACATATACATATACATATACATATACATATACATATACATATACATATACATATACATATACATATACATATACATATACATATACATATACATATACATATACATATACATATACATATACATATACATATACATATACATATACATATACATATACATATACATATACATATACATATACATATACATATACATATACATATACATATACATATACATATACATATACATATACATATACATATACATATACATATACTAGATCCAATAGGTCCCTTTTACAATCTAACCCATAACTTTCTCTGACAAGTAGGAGATAAAAGATTTATCCCCATATGAAAAAAACTTTACATCATCTTGCAATCCTGGTTTTAAAAAAAAGATTCCAATAACAACCCAAATCAAAGTTTATACAATTTAGTCCTGGTCAAATAAGTCCACTTTGAATTTCTTTTTCTTCTTTTTAAGAGGCTTAATCTTCAGCCGCTTCTTCAAATAATGTCCCACATAGTGATTTCTTATCATTTTCTCCCTGGCTGTTTTCAATAGCCCCTTCAGAGATGTAGTGCTTCCCTTCTCTGGATCCAAAATAAGATAACTCTCCAAGTCACTCTTCTAATTTATAATCAGGATATCCCTTTTAATTGTTAAAACATCAGCTAGCATAGTTTGTATATCCATTACAACTTCTTTCTTCATGTCACTTTTTAGTCAAACATTTTAAAGTCCATTTTCAAATCCACAACATCTTTTTCCATATCTTCCATATCTCTTTTATAGTCTGGCAATTCTGTACATTCCATTTTAAAATCCTTATTCAAATCATCCTCAGCTTCTGTTTTATCCAGTAGAATATTTTCTTTTTCTATAACCTCTGTAGGATCCAATCTTAAAAAATAAGTCCTGAACACATTGTTCCCAAACAGTTTTAATTCTTTTATAGTAAAGCAATTTTCCTCCACTGAGTTAGGAAGTATCTTTTCCCTTAATTACTCTCAGGTTCCCTCTAGTTAACCTTCAAAGCCCAGTCTTATCTTTTGTTTATTTTCAGAGCCAAAA